TCTCTGTGTCTCTGTGTGTCTGTGTGTCTGTGTCTGTGTCTCTGTGTGTGTCTGTGTCTCTGTGTGTCTGTGTATGTGTGCCTGTGTGTGTGTGGTCTCTGTCTCTGTGTGTCTCTGTGTGTCCTTGTGTCTCTGTGTGTGGGTGTTTCTGCCTCTCTGTGTCTCTGTGTCTGTGTGTCTGTGGTCTCTGTGTGTCTCCATGTAACTGTGGTCTCTGTGTCTCTGTGTGTCTGTGTGTCTGTGCATCTGTGTCTCTTTGTGTCTCTTTGTGCCTCTTTGTGTCTGTGTGTCTGTGAGTCTGTGTGTCTGTGTGTCTGTGTGTCTGTGTGTCTCCATGTGTCTTTGTGTCTCTTTGTGTCTGTGTGTCTCTGTGATTCTCTGTGTGTTTGTGCATCTGCTTGTTTGAGACTCACGTTCCGCTCTGCACTCGGACAGAGGAGACCTTCTCTTGGTATCCATGAGCATGGAAGCTGGGAACGTCGTCATCTACAATTTCGATTTTCTTGCCAGAGAAGTTGGGGTTCTCGTACAGAACGATCTTGTGCTCCTGGCTGTCCTGAGAAGGGGAGGCAGGGAAAGAGGGAAGCAGTGAGGAGAGACAAACATGGCGGCAGACCGAGCAGCAGCAGACAGAGGCACGGGGCGGCGTACCACTTTGATGGGCCGGAATGCTGCGATGCTGTCGCTACGGCGACTGTTGGTCCAGGAGTCCCAGCGAGGATACTCCCCCTTCTCAAACACAAACTGCTCCCCCTTGCAATTGGGCTGCTCGTAGCCCACCCAGCTGGGAAGAGAGATAGAGTGGAGAGGAGCAGCTTAATGCACATTCTCCCCTCTCCCCTTCGCTGCCAGTCCCCTTCCCTTCGCTGCCAGTCCCTCCCCCTTCCCCCACTCACGGTCCAGACTGAACAAGGATGGACCCCACTTTCTCCACTCCTCCCTCCCTCAGGCTGGGGCACGGGCCGGTCAGCTCGTGGCAGCGGCCCTGGAAGTTCTCCTGCTCAAAGATGACAAGCTGGGGGAGAGGACAGAGGCAAAGAGACAAACTGTGAATCATTCTGACCAAATGGGCAGAAAAACATGTACAAGCAAGAGGGCAAGTCTGTCTGTCTAAGTCAATAGTCCCATGATCACATCCATGTGACTCTTTAATGAAGCCAGGTTATTGGAGGTATCTTGTTCCCGACTCCCACAACCCTTCGTGTAAAGGTGTGGCTCCTGTTCTCAGATTTAAATGCACTTTCATGTCATTTCCACTGGTGCCCTCTGGCTCATGTTTCACTGTTTATTCAGAAGAAGTTCACTAGGTTGACTTTGTTGCTGCCTTTGAAGATTTGCCTCAGGTCTCCTCACAGTCATCTCTCTTCAAGAATGAAGAGACTCAGTTCCTTCAGCCTGTCAGTGTGGGACACTGACACACCCTTTAGACTAAAGAGACTCAGTTCCTTCAGCCTCTCAGTGTGGGACACTTCCTTCAGACTAAAGAGACTCAGAGCCTCACAAATGCCTGACGGGGGCTCAAAGGGCACCCTGGTGCCTGAGAATCGTTACTTCTCATTGTGCAGATGACACCCCCTGCCTGAGATGGCAGCTCCAC